GTCCTCTGAAGTTTGCTCAATTTCATGTTCGTTGCATCTATGACACTGTCTAACCATCTCATCCTTTGCCGTCCCCATCTTCTTTGACCTTCAATCTTTCCCAGCATCAGGAATAGGTTGCTGGAAATGGAACGGGCTCGTAAGCCAGGATACCTTCTCCCATGGTCTATTAGTGAGTACTGTCAAAAGGCACTCAGCACAGTGCAGTACAGTAGATATAGATCCGATACATTCTAATATGTCCCTGGCTGACCTCTTCCAGTAGTGTTTCCCCTTAACCTGTGGCATTTAGATATTATGTGAACAGAGACACCCTCTTCTGCTATCACAGAGCATCGGAAGCTTTCCTTCAGAGGCTGATGGCTCTGTACGTGGCCTCCCACTACAAGGTTAGTGGTGCTGTTTCTTTTCCTGTGTTGGAATCCTCTGGGGGAATGGCAGTTGGTAACTGTCCAGTAAAAGCTCTGTGAGATCAAATGTTTGGCATAAATTGTGTGTCCCCCCCCCCGCTTTTTGTTTCCTCATTCAATTGTTTGCAGAGCTAGAAAAAAATCCCCACCTATAATGTTAAATCTACTGAGAACAGTGGTCCTTGCTTTTCTTTTTTACTTGATGGATATTCATTGTAGCTGTTATGGGGCTGATAACTGGGACATGCCGTAACTTCTGAAGGAAGGATGTTGCCTAACATGATGTTCAAGTTGCCTTCTGAAGAAAATACGCAATTTGCAGAATGCATTTAGGAAACTTTAGGCAGGAATTTGAGGAGTCCTAGACTAATGGGCCAGGGAACAGTGAAGCACAGGCAGGACAGCCACTTTGAATGTTTTTATGGGCATATATTTTAAATAAATGAGTGGAAGGACAAATCACCAATTGCTCTGTCCCCTTTTGTCGCTTCTGACAGGATGCTGTCAAGAGTTTATTTCTTATAGCCTTCAATATAACAGTCAAAGGACTTAGATTAGTGTGAATCTGCTTAAGATGGCTCTGCCAGTTTAGTTTGGGATTCTGGTTTCAAGGCTTCCTGTACATGTTGAAGAAATAGTTGATTGGAAGGCATTCCATCTAAACATGGGCTGCTGAAAGGTCTAAAGAGGTGAAAAGCAAACCGTGCATTATAGCTCCCCCCCTTTTTAAGGGTTAAATCCTGCCAACTCTGAATGAAGACATTCACAGAACAAATCTTTCTCCCCTTTCCTTTCTTTCACAGCCTCCTAAGCTCCCTGAAAGCCGTTCATAAAGTCTGCTGGGGGGGGGGGGTTACCTTTGGGAGTGGGGGTGGAGGGGGTGGGTGAGCTGCAACATGAAGAGGAAATCAGCAGAAATCACTCCTTCCCATCTTGCTTGAGGTTGTTTGTGAACAAAGCGAGCACTGATGCAAGAAATGAGGGGATGGATTTCTGTCCATTTTTCCTTGTTGCAGCCACCTGGTGCCACATCCCGCTCAGTTCCCAAGGCTTCCCTGGCCTTCTGAAGCAGTTTGTTAGGGCCCAGGAGACCTCAGGGAGAGAGATCCATTCCATGTGCTCCGAGCCAGTGTATATACTGTGTTTATAAGTCTGAATAACTGCTGTATCTTTATTGTAGATAATGGTTATAGGTTTGTTGAGACAATTATTTATGCAAAAACAATTGTTACGATGGGTTAGATCCAACAGTCCATCAGCAGAAGACACTGACAGCCATGGAGTCTCTCCCCCCCCCCCTCCGGTCAGTTCTGACATGGGAAGGCTGATTTCCAGTGTTGCAAGATCCGTGTAGTCTGATAGCCATGTGGGTTGGGGGAGGGCTGAATGGGGGAAAGGGCAACATTGCCCTTCTGGCTCTCACAGCAGCTGAGTCAATGGAGAAAGGGGGGGGGTAATTTTACTTTCTTATTCCTCCTTTATGTTGCCCTGTGACCTGCATAGTTAATAGACTGCATGGATCCACCAGCAAATCAATTTTCTTGGAGTCAGAAGGGACTGCTGGAGGGTGGGGAATATGGGAAGGATCTCTGATCTGTGCACCCATGGACTGCTGGGTACTTGCTTGTCATTTTATAGGCGAACAAATAGGAGTATGTACTAGAGAACTCACTCTGTAGTGTGCTTGTGTCGTTCCAGAATTCTCCCAATGATCTCCAGATGCTTTCAGATGCTCCTGCCCACCGTCTCTTTTGCCTTCTGCCACCAGTTCCACCTACCCAGAATTCTTTGCCAGAAGTCCTTGCTGTTGTTCAGGTAAGAGAGAGAACATTTGTGCATTTAAGTGACTTGTCCTAATTTGGAAAGGAAACAGCAGAAAGACATATGGCAGTGTGCTTTGGTTGTCTGGTTTTGTATATTGATGGCGTTAGCTATAAAACTTGTAGCATAGTAGAAAGCACAAAGCATGCTGCCTTTATTCATATTGTATTTCAGTTAGGATGTACATTAAGTTCCAATCTTTCCAATATCAGTTTAGAAGAAATTGATTTCTTTCATTTTTTTAAATAAATACGTTTTATTGAGTTTTTAGGGCATACAGAAATGGGGAAGGGGAAGGAAACAAAAATAATAAGTCTTCTGTATATAAGTCTTCTCTACTTACTTCACATTACAAAGAGACTGTGAGATTTTAAAAGTTCATAAATGCTTCATCTTATAATATTGAGACGTTCATATCTTTGTATTTCTTTCTTATCCAGTCGTAAAAGGGAGTCTACAGTCCAACAAAAATCTTCTTCCATTTGCCCTTTTAACATCAAAGTCAATTTGTCCATTTCTGCACTTTCCATAGTCTTCACTATTAGATCTTGCTCAGAAGGTATTGTTGGAAGTTTCCAATAGGATTCACATTAAATTCTAGCTGCCGTTACTACAGGAATTATAAAATATGTTTGATTTTTATCAAAGTCATCTGGTACACAATTCAATAAAAAAAATTCTGGTCAAAAAGAATTTAAGTCTGCCAAACTGTCTGTATATAGGTATGTACCATAACCCAAAACTTGCGTAACATATCACACGTCCACCACATATGGTAGAACATACCCACATGTTTTTTGCACTTCCAGCAGCTATTTGGCTTATTTTTTATACATTTTAGCTAATCTATCTGGTGTTAAATACCATCTGTAAAACAACATATACAGATTCTCTTTAAAGCAACCGATTTAGTTATTTTCACATTCACTTTCCACAGTTTACTCCACTGTGCAAGATCAGTATTATAACCTAGATTTTGCATCAATTTAACCATACAGTCTTTAACCATTTCATCTTCCATTTTCATTAAAAATACACTTTCTTAATCAACTTATCATTGGATGTACATAGCAATTTTTCAAATGCACATTGAGATAAAAGCCAGATTTTCTATCTTTAACATATCTAGATTCAATTTGAGCCCTTGCCCACCAATCCAGACCTTGCCTTATTAATTCTAGAAGAAATCGATTTCTTAATGATGAAAAACTGAGGTTTGCTGCAGTTGCAATTCATGTTTTTGTTTAAAATATTTGTATCCTGCCTGCACAATAAGGTTAAAGGTGACTTACAGTAAGTAATTAAAATGCACCGCGGCCAGTTAAACAGGATGAAACCACCAAAAGGCTAAAGATGCGCCCATAGACAGAGTATTCTGAGATAATCCAAATATATTTATTAAATTCGACAAATATTATCAAAGTTTCAACTACTTTAAACAAATGCCTCCAGACACCATCAATTTTTATAGGCCTTTCTTAAACAGGAGGGGAGGGGGAGAGAAAGGGGAGGAGGAGGAGATTGGATTTATACCCTGCCCTTCACTACCCGAAGGAATCTCAGAGCGGTTTACAATCTCCTTTCCCCTTCCCACAACAGACACCCTGTGAGGTAGGTGGGGCTGAGAGAGCTCTTTCGAGAACTGCTCATGAGAGAACAGCTCTGAGACAACTTGTAACTGACCCAAGGTCGCACCAGCAGCTGCATGTGGAGGAGTGGGGAATCAAACCCAGTTCTCCCAGATTAGAGTCTGCACTCCTAAACACTACACCAAACTGGCTGTCAATAGTGTCTCTCTCCTGATAGTGACAGGACTTGGTACATGGTCTTTGGAAGGCCATTCCAGAGTGGCCAATCAAACTAGATGCAAAGAAGGGATAATCAGCAGTGGTTCTTTCTCTGGCAGATCTAAAAGAGTTGATAACCAGGTGAGACCAACCTTCAAGCAAGTGGGCACTGGGTTGTGAGGAGGTTTAAGCCGGTATCTTGAATTGAGCCCAGGGGGGCAGAGAGTCAGCCAGTGCAGCTGTCTCAGTGTGGGTGTAAGGAAGGCCACATCAGCTCAACCCCATGAGGAAATGTGAGGCTGCATTTTATGCCAGCTGGTGCTTTTTAGTTGCCTTCAGGGACAGTGCACACAGAATATGTTACAATAGTTAATCCTAAGGATTACATAGCATGGGTTAGCATGGTCAGATGAGCGGAGTCTAGAGGGGAACATACTTTCCTTACTAGATGCAGCACATGTTTATTTTGAAGGCTCAATGTAATACAGATTTGCAGTCATGTATAACTTTAGTATAATTTGTAACAGAAACAAAATAGCCTGTTCATTAAAAACTGTACAAGCAGCTTTAACATTTTAAATCTTACAAAACGAGGATTTTTCTCTTACGGGAACTCAGTGGAATCTGAACTGGCTGAGGCGTACCATAATAATTACTTCTGATGAGCTGTGTTCGATCAAATGCCTGTAGCCCCTTCAGTGGCTGATTGCAGCACAGCACTCCAGCACCTGGTCTCCACTCTCGGCTTTATTTCCCCTTTGCTGTTGTCAGGTGTGTTTAGAGGGTGAGATCTCTCGTCAGTCCATTATGAACAGCCTGTCCAGAGGGAAGAAAGCATCAGGAGATCTTATTCCATGGACCATTTCAGAGCAGGTAACAAAGCAGCTGCTCAGCTGATTCTTGTTTGGCTCATCTTACATCATGAATGCTCTTCAATTCAGTCAGAATGACACCCCACCCCACCCCACCCCACCCATCTTCCCTTTATCTCTTTATAGTTCCAGGATCCAGATTTTGGTAGCCTCTCTGGTGGGAGAGTTGTTCGCATTGCAGTCCATCCTGATTATCAAGGGGTAATGTATTACAGTTTTCCGTAACTTACCTTGTTGCGAGACTGAGATCAAAATAATTCTGGGAGGTGTGGCTGGTTTGTGCAGAAAATGGTAATATTTTGTAGGACAGCCCAATAGCAACATGTTAAGGCATAAATAAAATGTATTTGTATGCCTTCTTCTTGTCAAAATGTCCCACAAGGTGACTACACAGAATAAAAACACATACATACACAAAAATTCTCACACAGCACTCTTTGATCACAACAGGGTGACCAAGCCATTCTCAAAATCAGGCCAGAAACCAAATTTCTGTGGATTCATCACTGGGGCTCATAAGGGCTAGTGAATAACTTGTGTTGTGCAATTCAGGCTGTTTGCTTGGATCATAGTCAGGTAGTGAAGCAGAGGAAGGACTCCCTTCAAAGAAGAATGCTCACCTTTATGTAAATCAGCTTGGGTTGAAAGCGGAATGTTATGCATGTGTGTGACGGATATCTGGATAGGCAGCTTTGTTAGTCCCAGAAATATTGTGAAGCTATCATAATGTAAAAAATGGTTAACCGAGTTGTGTTTAATTTGTTTAATATTATTTTGTTTGGTTGTATGCTTTAATAGTGAAATTCAATAAAAACATTTTTTTTAAAAAGAATACCCCATGATGGCACTTGTGTACTTGCAGAACTTGAGCCCTTGTTGTGGGGGAAGAGGTGAGAAAACAGGTGGAGACAGAGTTTATAAATTAGGGTGTGTATAAAGAAATATGGGGAAGACAGAAATGTATGCCACACACACTACTAGTCAGTAGGAACACTAGTTAGTGATTGGAAATTTCTGTGGTGCCCTGCTGCAGGTATCAAGCATCTGTCAGGTTCTGTAGAAAAAGTCTTTGGAATGATTATTTAAAAGACATTAATAGCATTCCAAAGGTATTAGCGGAATTGCCCACTTCAGACGTTAAATTACATCCTTAGGTGCCAGTGCAGTTAAGAAGTGGATGCACCTCCTGTAACTTGTTACCAACTGTGCTTATTGCTGCTTCTGTAAAGCAAGAGTGATCCCGCATCTATGCGTGGAGAAGGAATGTTGAACTGTCTTGAATGGTTGTCCTTTCAGAGCTCTTCTCTTTAAATAGTCCTCCTTTTATGCAAAACTTCTTTTACCAGATGGGTTATGGCAGCAGAGCTTTGCGCTTGCTGCAGATGTACTATGAAGGCAAGTTTCCTTGCTTGGAAGAAAAGATTGCCCAAAAGCCAAAAGAAATTGCTACTGTGAGTAGCGAGGTATGAAAACTCTGCTTGACTGGCATTTCTTGATGCATGGTGATATCACATCTCCATAAAAATATTTGGGGGGGGGGGCAGATCTTAAGCAATCCCTGTTCTCCTGCTAAGCTGACTGTTCTCTTATTGCTTTAGGCTGTCAGTTTATTGGAAGAAGCTGTGACGCCCCGGAAGGACTTGCCTCCTCTCCTCCTCAAACTGAGTGAGAGGCAAGCAGAGAATCTCGACTACCTTGGTGTGTCCTATGGCTTGACACCAAGGCTGCTCAAGTAAGAGTTCGCCTGTGTTTGTGCTCTAGTGTGAAAGAGGCAACAGGGCACCAAGGTTTTGCCAATGCTGCTACTATAGCTATGGACCTTGCTGAGAAAAAACCCCAATTAATTCAAAGTGTATCTATAACAATGTCTTATCTTGGGACAATTGCTTGGATTGGCTTTTATGGAATAAATGTATGCTGAGACAATCTGTTCTCCGGTGCACGACCTACTAAAACAAAAGGGAGCGGCACAAGAGCCCGATACTGCATGGATGGAGCGGCTCCCATATATCTGGGGATTATAAACACACCTGTGTCAGAATATTTTCCATTTTCAAATCCAAAGTAGTGGTCCTCTGGAAAAGTTTTGGAAGTATTTACCTGTACTTGATTCTTGTTGGGTCCCCTTTGGAGGAAGGGTCATGGCTCAGTGGCAGAGTATCTGCTTTGTATGCAGAAGGTCCCAGGTTCAGCCCCCAGTATCTCCAGTTAAAAGGAGCCGGTAGTAGGTAATGTGGAAGACCCTCCGCCTGTGACCCTGGACAGCAGCTGCCAGTCAGAGTAGGCAGTGCTAATCCTGATGAACCAATGATCTGATTCCGTATAAGGCAGCTTCACGTGACTCACATGGCCATTGTTTCTTCTTGTTCCTCCTCCTCCCTGCATTAGCCCCATGGTTGCTTTTACTCAGTCAGGAACCACATAGTGACTATGCTGATGCCACAGCACTTTCTAGGCAACCAGACATGGTTCTGGATGGCATCCGTGAGGGCAACTGAGACTGAAGGAGAGCTAAACAAGCCATCTTTGGAAGTGGTGCCAAAAATGTATTGGGGAAAAAAGGCAAGGCAATTTCTAGGGCTGCCACAGATGTTTGCAAAAATGAGTGCATAACTTGAATATATATGGATTATATAACCTTTAAAGTAACTTTGTATGCTTTAAGATACAGTCAGATTTCCTTTGTTTGTTCTTTTACTAGATTTTGGAAACGAGCTGGATTTGTACCAGTTTATCTGAGGCAGACTCCAGTAAGTCGAATTTCCTGGTCCAAAGAAACCCTAATAGACCTACCCTACAGAGTGACAGTCTAAATTAGGATCGCCATCATTACTCAGTTTAACCAGCTGATTAGTTAACATTAATCATATAACTTGATTTGTGGTGGTGCAATTTATTGGGTGGTAGGATTACAAGTATGCTTATTTTGGAGGCTGTTGGGGCTCGGACATGTCTGCAATAACTTGTCTAACAGTGTGGTAACTTTTGTGCACTACATTATAGGTAATTGCACACTGCCTTGCTTTAGTATTACTAAAGTAAGGTTTTTTTAGGTCTTGGTAACATGCATATTATGTATCTTTAACAGACTACTTAACTAAAAAATATCTTAAGCAATTGACAGGTTTACTATAAATGTGTTAGAATCAGAACTGCTGGTTTATTGGGGGTGGAGTTCCTTTCAGTCACTTCAGTAGTGGTTTATAAGTTCTTTGCAGTTATCATTTTACTGTGAAATGCTGGTTAACTGTTTGACATCTACTGATGCTAATCCTCTCCCTGAGAGCAACCTTTTTTTAAAGCAGTTGGTTATTGAAAATACAGTGCCTCATAAAATGTTGCAGCAAAGGACTGTGCCTTGATTTCTAGAATGATCTGACTGGGGAGCATTCCTGAATCATGCTGAAGATGCGGAATGAAGATGAGGAGAATGAGCAGGAGAGCTGGCTGACTGCCTTCTGGAAAGGTGACCGGGTTAAGGACAACATTCTGCATAATGCTGAAGAAGCTGAATGAAGATGAGGAGAATGAGCAGGAGAGCTGGCTGACTGCCTTCTGGAAAGGTGACCGGGTTAAGGACAACATTTGGGGGCTGGTTCAAACTGATTTTGGAACAGGAAATCGTCTCGCACAACATATTTTGCTGCCTGAGTGTCATGTGGGAACTGTTCTTCCAGAAATCTGAGCTTATTGAGCTCTGTGGATCTTTCCATAGTGATGATTTCAGACCAGTAACTGTCCACATGACATCAAGGTAGTAAAGTCATCTTAAGAGTGTCTGTGAAGTGGCTGCGTTGTTTGTGATTAAGTGTTATAAACTATCCTTTAAGGCTTAAGTGGTAACGTTTTATTTTCCACTTGTTTTGCAGATTTTAGGAGGAGGTTTCTGTCTCTCTTGTCATATCAGTTTAGCACTTTCTCTCCTTCATTAGCTTTGAATATTTTACAGAATCGGAACATCAAGCAGCAATCACAACCCCGTAAGTAGTGGGTCTTTGGGCTACTTACAAAGTACTTGAACTGACCACTTTAGTTTTGGAGTGGATGTGGGCTAATAAACTGAAGCCCTGGCAAGATTAAAGTGAGTGAAATGTCTGACCCAGGGTTTAAGGTGTTACTTCTGCATGGGGTTGCACACTCCTTTAAGGAGCAGGTTTGTAGGCTGGTGCTCTTGGAGCCAGGGCCACCACTGGATAAGCAGGTGGAAGTGGTGGCTGGGAGTGCCTTTTTCAGTCTCAATTGGTTTAGCCAGCTGCAGCTTTTCCCAGGCCTGGGTTACAACTAGATTAGATTATTACAATGCACTCTGTGCAGGGCTGCCCTTGAGAAGTGTTTGGAAACTTTAATTGGCACAGAATGCTGCAGCCAGGATGTTGACTGGAGTGGGTCATAGGGATCATATTGCTCCAGTCTTGGCCCATCTACATTGGTTCTGAATATGCTTCTGGTTGCAATTCAGTATGCTGGTTCTGACCTTTAAAACCCTATGTAGTTTGGGACTAACATAGCTGAAGAACTGCCTTCTCTCTCATGAACCTGTGTTACCATTACAATGTTATTCCTGCATTATGCATCATGCTTCAGGTGCCCCTCCCTTCTCAGCAGGTGGCAACCCAGGAGAGGGCCTTCTCAGTCATGGCACCAGAACTCTGGATCTCTCTTTCCCAGGGAGATTTGTCTGGTTTCTTCCATTGCCATCTTCCACCAGCGAGTGAAAACTTTTTTGTTCCATTGGTGTTCCCTTGGTGAACCATCTTTCCTGCCCAATGTTGTATTGTTGTTTTTATGTTTTTCTGTATGCCTTAGATCTGTTTTTAATGATGTGCTTTAATTGTTTTTAAGATGTGAGTTTATTACATATGTTTAATCTGTTAGTTTATCTTGGTGGGCTTTATGAGGGTAGAAAGGTGGAGTATAAATTTTGTAAAATAAGTAAATAAAGCTGAGCCCCGGAAAATGCAGTTGGTGGGTCTTCATAGTATTTCGTAGGGGTGTGTGTTCGGTGTATACCAAGCTGAATAAATACTAAAAAAATACCTCAGAGATCTGTATTCGGCTCCTGAAATAGCCATGCCCAAATAAAATCTGATGAAATTCTCCATTATACACTGTGGGGACAGTCCCCATAGGGTATAATGGAGCCGAATAAATTCGGGCTTCCTGAATATTTAGCTGAATACCAATACAATACCAATACTAGTATTCAGGAATACTGATATTTTTATGCCCGAGGTCATCAAGCTTTTCAGGCCCAGTATCCACATTAACCCTAACCTGCAATAGTAGCCCCACTTAGAATTTTTTCATTTGTATATTCACTTATCTGCTCCCTGTTTTCCCTATTTCTTGCTCTTCCCTCAAGAAGAAATTGTTTCTCCTCTTCTTAACAACAAAAATCCAAAGATTTGGAGGAAGTGGTATGATTTTGAATATCTGGTTCTCTGTAGCAAATATAATCTCTGTTTTTTCCCCACTTTTCAAATAATTCATGTCTCACAGCAATCAGCCGTAGTGAATTAGAAGCTGTTTTTATTCCATATGATCTGAAGAGACTAGAGATGTATTCAAGGAACATGGTCGATTATCATCTAATTATGGACATGATCCCTACTATCTCGAGGATGTACTTTCTCAGCCAGCTTGGAGACATAACCCTTTCTGCTACACAGTCTGTAGGTACCTTATTTTTTATCTATACACCAGTTTTTCCTTGTGATAGCCGTATTAATTTAGCTCCTCTCTCTTGATAATGGCATACTTGCATTCCAGTCTGTGTCCTCCGAGGAGGGTGCCTATATTAGAATTGTTTCAATACATTGTGTGTGTCAGTAAATGGGGTAGCTGAAGAGGCCAGTTCTTCCTGCCCAAATGCAGCATTTTTGTCATATCGAATCAAAGAAAGAACATCTTCTTTTTCTTTTAAACAGGCTCTTCTTCTTGGGATCGGCTTGCAGCACAAATCTGTGGATCAATTGGAGAAAGAGATAGAACTGCCTGGTGGTCAGCTGATGGGTCTCTTTAACAGGATAATCCGCAAAGTTGTTCAGGTAACAGTCATTTTTAGGAGGACTGGTGAAATCTCAAAATTAACCAAGTAGTAGAAAATGGTAGAGTTAAGATCCTGTGCTGAAAGACCCTATCCAATATAGAGCCACCTTCTAATGCAGGGTGTCTGGCTTCAGTGGAAGAGGCATAGTCCACCAGTGAAATGTCTTTTGTAATGAAGGAAGGCTTCATCATTAGAGCTATGGAAATTTTAGGTACAACTTGGAATTTGCTTTGACCATACACTTTATATCAGCAGTGTACTTTGGGGTTTGCCACAGTGGTTTTTAAGACTTGGATAAACTGTTTCTGGAACTCTAATTAGCTAATGTGCATTTAATTTTCCTCTGTGCCTTTGGTGGGGGAATCGGGGGGGGGGGTTGCTCACCCATTTTCCTTCCTGCTGTTTATTTATTTATTTATTTATTTTATACCCCGCCCTCCCCGCACGCAGGCTCAAAATGCTTCACACAAGTCCAAGCTTCTTTCTTACTGTCTAGGAGGTAGTTGGAGGGAACTTGTGCATGACTTTCACCCTTAATTTGAGCCTGAATGGGATAGTGGAAAGCAGGATTCCTGTTCCCCAAGTTGGGTATATAAATTGAGATCCTGGTTTTCTACTGATTAGGGAGCTGCAGTTTGGCTGCAAACTGGTAATTCCCAAGGGACAGTGGTACTACCTATGTCAGATCCTTCAAGTTTCATCTTTATGAAACTTACTTTTAAAGTGTCATCAGTCAAGGTGAAATGTTACAGAATGTCAACTAATGGGAAGGGGAAATGCTGCAGAAGTCTTGTAGCACGTGGCCTGTACGTTATGTAAAGCATTTTACTCGGAAGAGGGAAGTAAGTTCCATCACTCTTTGGTTGTTCTTTTCTCCAGTTATTCAACACTATCCAGGAAAATGCTGTGGAAGAGCAGATGGCAGCAACAAAGGAAGTTGTAATGGAGCCAACCCTGAAATCATTAAATGAAGATTTGGTAATTTTATTCTCTTAAGATTTCAGATATTAGAGCTTCAGGGTGACTGGTATTTTTTTACCCCCCTCAGACCAGAGAAATAGCACTTTAATTCACAGTCCATGGACAGTAAGTCAATCACTGGTGGTCATTCAGGATGAAAATGTCCAGATATTGGGGCAACTGGGAAAGTTGCTGCCATCCTGGCCAGAGAAATCTGGCTGATCATTCTGCATAATAGAATGCTGGTCTTTTCTTCTGTAGAAAATGTATGTTATCAGCCTTCTTGCTATGTGGCATGTAATTTAGTTCATAGTGCTGGGGGTATTTTGGTAGGACAGTCTTCTTTGACATGATCAGGTTTCACTTAAAATAGATAGGTGTATAAAATACATTAACCAGCAAACATCCCCTGGGGTGTTGACACTGAGTGACCAACTTTCTGTTGCCTGGTAGGATTTTGTATGATCTTCATAAGATGGAACTATTCAGTGTATGTTATATGTAAAGTTGTTCTCCCCCCCACCCCCACCCCGTGTAGGAAGAAGCCGCAAAAGAGTTTCAGAAGAAACACAAGCAAGAGATTGGGAAGCTGAAAGACCTCAACCTTTCACAGTAAGCACCCCTTCCACACCTCCATTTTACTAAATAGCTTGTTTCCAGAAGATGGAGCTTGATAGGCCTAAACCACTTTGCCACAGCATCCCTTAAGACCAAGAATGCTTCAGGAAACACAAGTCTTGTTTTGGTATCAGCATTGATTGGCTGCCTGCAAATGGGGAGGCATGAGGTAGTGTGTTGGCAAAGGCAGATTGACATGTTGATATAGGGTTCTAAACAGACTAGGAAGCTAGAGGTTTCATTAAGCCAGCCTGATAGGCTTCACGTAATTCAGGACAGACATTGATTGTTTCCCCAACTTTTGAAAAAAGTTCACATTACACTTGAAATCTCACCACATAAAAAGGTATCTAGCAGGAGACATGTTGTCTTCTGCTGCATTGCCGAGGTAGGTTTGCTGGTGCCAAAGGCCTACATTTCCATTGTTTTCCATGAAGCCATATCAAGAAAGGACAGAAATTAAGGGGTAGTGTTTCATTGGAAAGGGGATGCCAGAGCCCCCCTTTTTTGGGGGGGGGGGATGTTAAACAAGTCTCTCTCCAGACCAATGCTCCCTCTAAGCTGTGGAGTCTTGTGAGCAGAAATTCTACTTTGTGAGCTACTGGCATTAAAGTCGTGAGTGAGCAGTTTGGCTACTGCATAAATTAATTTGCTCTGGAGCCATCCTTCCTGAGCGAAGACAAAAATGTGTGAGCTGGAGGCTAAAAAACTGTGAGCTAGCTCACACTAACTCAGCTTAGAGGGAACACTGCTCCAGACTACTCTGAAGATAGTTTCTGTTGGGTAATTCTGTTGGTCTGTGGTACAAGAGCAAGATTGGCGTTCAGGAGCACCTTAGAGGCCAACAGGGTGGTTGGAGTATAAACCTTAGAGAGTCAGAGCTCCCATCATTAGAAAGAGAACTTTGAGACCCTCAAAAGCTTATTCCCCACAAAGTCTGGTTGGTCATTCAGGTGCTTCTGGACTTGAATCTTGTTTTCCTGACTGCTGTGTGGCTCTTGCTGTGGATCTCCCCCCCCCCCCCCCTTTGTGGTGGTCTTAAATTATTCTTAAGTTCTGGAAGGTCGTTTGTAGCATGTAGACACAGCTTGAATATCAGGAGAGCCAAAATGAAGATCTGTGGCTTTCCTCTCCCATTTCAGAGGCTACTGAAGTTGAATATCCTGTGTGTCTGGGCAGTCTTAATCTGTTACACTTAGTTTGTTTTGGAGAATCTGTCCCTTCACTGATCAGTAATCATTCTGCAAAATATCTCCCGCTCAGTGGTAGAAGAAGAAGAGATTGGATTTATACCCCGCCCTTCACTTGGAGCCTCAGAGCGGTTTACAAACTCCTTTCCCCTCCCTTCCCCACAACAGACACCTTATGAGGTAGGCGGGGCTGAGAGAGCTCTGAGAGAACTGTCCTTGAGGGAACAGCTCTGACAGAACTATGGGTTGCCCAGGGTCATCTAGCAGCTGCAGGTGGAGGAGTGGGGAATCAAACCCGGTTCTCCCAGATTAGAGTTCACACACTTAACCACTACACCAAACTGGTAGCTCCCTTGGTGGAAAAACAAGTATCAATGAGATTATTTTAGCCTGTTGCATACACAACTGCTAGCTTTGATCCCAGCCTTTTGTTTCTGGAAAGCAACATAATTAATCTTTCCTGAACTAATTGATCCGTTTGAAAGGATTTTAAAAATCTCTGCTTCCCATTCAGATATGTCATCAGAGGCGATGATGAAGAATGGAACGAAGTGCTGACCAAAGCAGGACAGAATGCTTCCATTGTCAGTCTGAAAAGGTTAGTGCAGCAGGGAATTCAGGGGTGTGTCCTACCTAGTATATCTAGCATCTCAGCAATAATATCCAGCTGAAGAAGTAAATGGACGGCAGTGAAGAAAGTGAACTGATACATTCCCCGGTGTGTTTCCTTCTCTTCTTTCCTGGTCAGAGAAAGATAGTGAAGTAATTGGGATTATTCTGTAGCACAAGAATTATGTTCCTTGTTGTGCTGTAGAACTCTTTAGCTGTGCCTCTTATTAAATATTATTGAATATTAGCTTATTACTGACTTAGAGAGCCATTTGTCAAATTTCCTCGTAGTAAGATGGGAGGTCTCTGTTCTGTGAGAGTTCACTTGGAAGAATTGGATGTTAACACACTGTCTTGAAATGGTTCCTGTCCTTCAATTTAGGGGGAAGGTATATACCAGCTTGGCTCCCCTATGGGTTCTTGGTAGTGATGGTTGATTCCCGAGAAACTTTTTGCCAGTATTTTGTTTCCATGAAGCCAGCCAGGTGTACCTCTTTGTTGGGTGGAGTAACCTCCATGACACTTCTTGCTGGTTAAATGCAGTGTATGACTGACTTGGGCACTGTAATATTAGATTCTTTAAATATGCCCTGCCATTTGTATGTATGTATTTACTTTATTTATATTCTGATTTTATCACAAAGACTCAGGGGGATCACACAATTAAACAATAATGTAACATTCAATTTAGGGGGAAGGTATATACCAGCTTGGCTCCCCTATGGGTTCTTGGTAGTGATGGTTGATTCCCGAGAAACTTTTTGCCAGTATTTTGTTTCCATGAAGCCAGCCAGGTGTACCTCTTTGTTGGGTGGAGCAACCACCATGACACTTCTTGCTGGTTAAATGCAGCATATGACTGACTTGGTCACTGTAATATTAGATTCTTTAAATATGCCCTGCCATTTTTATGTATGTATTTACTTTATTTATATCCTGATTTTATCACAGAGACTCAGGGGGATCACACGATTAAACAATAATGTAACAGTATAATACATACAAACAATGCATAAAAACTGGATTACCGAAATTGGAGAATGCAAAAAAAAAAAAAAGCTAAATATACACAACAAACAAGCCAATAAAACAGAGGAGGGAGAGCTTGTACCTGAATAAAACTTGGTCTTAAAGGTGCCACTGGACTGTTTTGGGCCAGGGGGAGCTCTGCAACTTACCTGGCAGCTTCTTGCTCTGACTGAGGTCTGCTGGGAGCAGGGGGTGGGACTTGTTGCATGTGCCTTCTCCCTGGGCTCTTTATTGCTGGAGCTCCGCTCCTGTGCGCTCCTGCAGGAAATGACCCCTGGGTTGCAGAATTTTTTTTTAATGCAGAATCTTGGTGCAGAATGTGCCAAGTGGTGGTATATTTACTTCACTTCCTGGGTTTTTATGTTTTCTTCAGTGACAAAAAAAGAAAATCAGAAGGTGTAATAGGACCAAAACAGGAGAAGAGATTTAAGAATAAAGCCCCAAAGCAGAAGTGGAAGAAATGACTCCTAAATCAACACGTGGACCTGAGCTCTTGTTTTGGGGAGGATCCAGCTTCTTTTATAAAGCGAAGGACTGAAAGCTAAGAAGAAGCTGTACCTTGGAGCGAAAAGGCCTGAAGCATTTAAAAAATACTGCAAGCAGCAGCGCTGTTCAGAAGATATTTTTATACTGCTGCCAGCTCAGCATTTGTGCTACATTAAAAGGGATTGTAGAACTGCACACTGGATTATTACCAGGAATCCTAACTTTTTAGGCCTGCAAAACTCTGCTTTGTGAGCCTAAGAGACCTATAAACATCCTTCCCATTTCTTTATGATTGTTGTTCTTACTGGTGATTTTTGGAGGGAAGCCTAGGTTTCCGTGTGTGTGTGTGTGTGTTTATTTTAAATTGAAAGCTGATATTTTTTCTACAACTAGTACAATGGGGTATACAATGTTCAGTAAGATTTTAAATGGTCAGCTTAATGTGCCTGTCCACTGTACTTTACTAGACTTTTTGATTTAGAAAAATGAGGGGGGAAAATCTAGTCTCAGGTTCAATGAAATCTTCTCCTGTTGCATACTGTCATCGCCATACGCTTCGAGAGTTACTTCTGAATATTAGTAGCGGGTTCTGCCTCAGTGCTCTGTGGGTACTATGCAAGACAGAGGATATGGGGAATATAGTTGTGCTCCCAGATCCTTTCTCTGAAATGCATCATTCCTGTTTTTCAGTTTATACCACAGGTTATGTAGTTGGGGTCATGCAGCAGATACGGAAAGAAGTGGTCATGATTGTGTGCTGTAAGCTGCAAGGACAATGAAGTGTATTTGGGCGCAGCATTACACCAAAAACAGCGAATAATACTATAGAAATGCTTTGTTGGTGCTCTTGTTCTCACGCATAGTGTGCTGTAGATATGACTGGATAGTGTGCCTCCAAGGTTGCCAAATCAGAAGACAGAACCTGGAACGGAACTCAGGGTCGTGAAAATATCCAGGTCTCTCTTCTGTGTTTTTCCACCTCCTTCCTTGAACACAAATTTCTGGTCCTCATGGCTGTGAAGACGATTGAGAATATGATAGAGAATACATTAGCAGTGCCTAGTGAAATTCCAACAGCTGGAGGATAATTGAGCAGGAACCTTCATGCTCTGTGACTGCATGGCATGAGGGATGTGAGCTGTATCCCTACCTCATTGTCACAGTTCCCTGGGCATTTATTTTCCCAATATCTGCAGAAAGAATAAAATTTGGTTCTTGGAAACAAAATTCAGAACTGTACAAAATAAAGAGATAAAGTTGGCTTAATCTTCAGGCCAACGGTGTCTACCGGCAGCGTTCTACTATTCTGCGGATCAAGAGGATGTAGTTTCAGCATCCTGAGCGCTGTATTTGTGTTGGCCAGTGCAGCAGAACTGGCACCTTTTTATTGCTCTACACATTTAAAGCACATTTTCCAACTCGTTTTAACTTGGATTGCACTGGTTTCCTTTGGCCTGAGCTATTTAGGGTTTGAGGTCTGGCTTGGCAGCAGTGAACAACAGGTTTATGAAGAACTCGTCATGATTGCAAGCCTCAGATGTTCCAAAACTACAGGCCACCAAAATCACAAAATTAGCTTATAGCGTGAACGTTTTAGAAAGGTTTCTTTTGCTAGCAACTTTTTTTAACTTTGGGGTTTCTGAATGGTTATAGGTTTGTTTTTAAAGCTTCCCTCTGTAGTCTTGAGAGCTGAGAACAACCAGCTTAACAGGAAAAAAGGGATCCTATTTTAAGGGCTGTAGTGTGAGCAAAGATGTAGAACATCTACAGGAATATGGGTCCTGGAGCTACAACAGCTACAAACGGTCACCCTGGCACAGGAAGCTAAATTTCTACATGTTTACATGCCAGAATTTAATATAAAGAATAATAGTGTGCTTTACTAAACTGCTTTAGGCCTAGTCAAGCCTGGGTATGGCTCATCTAGCTCCATATTGGTCTAACCTTAAATGAAGCCTGCATTCCATCTGACCAAACAGCTTCGGCTGTTCGAGTCCCACCGTGGCCGGGGTGAGCTCCCGGTCTATATCCCAGCTCCCGCCCACCCAGCGGTTCGAAAGCCCGTATGGGCAAGTAGATGAATGGGTACCTGCTCTCAGAGCAGGGGGGGGGCACCCTTCCTTCCCTTGTGATGGTGGTGGCGGCTGAGCGGCGGAGCGTGGCATTGGCGGCGGAGCGTGGCGGCAGCGAAACATGGCGGCGGTGGTCGAGTCGAGCAGCCTGAGCCGAGATTGGCCAGCGAAGCACAGCGGCGGGGCAACATGGTAGGCCGGAGCCAATTAGGGACAGAGGTCGGCTGCGGAGCGTGCGCTGTCGGGCGCTGTTGGCCCACGCCCGAAAGGAGTGGCTGTGGCTGGAAAAAGAAGATCTGCGTCCAAGGCTTTGTCGCCCGGATTGAAGAACCTCCGCAAAACAAGAAACAACAACTAAGACCCTGTCATGGGTACCTGATAGGTTGTCACTTCCCCAACATTGCGTGTGGCCCTAGTAAAAAGTAATTAGTAGCTGTACAAATGTAAACCGCTCAGAGCCCTTAGGAGGTGAGCGGTCTATAAATTGAAAGTTAAAATAAAAAAAATTAAAAATCAAGAATTCATAGATATCAAGAGCCAGTTTGGTGTAGTGGTTAGGAGCGTGGACTTTAATCTGGGAGAACCGGGTTTGATTCCCCACTCCTCCATGTACAGCCAGCTGGGTGACCTTGAGTCAGTCACAGTTTTTTCAGAGCAGTTCTCAGAGCTCTCTCAGCTCAGCCCCACCTTCCTCACAGGGTGTCTGTTGTGGGGAGGGGAAGGGAAAGGGGACTGTAAGCTGCTCTGAGACTCCCAAGTGAAGGTGGGGGGTATAAATCTAATCTCTTCTTAATTTTAAAAAAGCTCAGTATAGTTTACCCTTGCCTGCAGCAGCATCTGCAGAGGTTCAGGCGGAGGTCTTTCCAGTTTGTCACCCAAGATCCTCTAACTAGAACTATTAGGGTTTGGTCATGAGACATTATGCAAAATGTACCCTGTACCAGACAGTCATTTTTACTGTCAACATGAAGGAGAGAGAGAGTGCTGCATTTATCTTCAGGGGAGGGTCTGTTGGTTCCTTTTTTTTTTGGGGTGCCCAACTGGTGAGCTGAGAGGGTGATGGCACTAAAAGGTACATAGTAGGCAAGCCAGACAGTGTCCTCAAGCCTTAGTGCTGATGTTGGAGTGTGAGCATTAGTCTAAACAAAATGGCAGTTTCTGTAGCAATATCAAGCTGGGCAGCCCTGCCACGTTCCTGCCATAGCAACTGCTGGGGCTGGGTTTGTGTTCCCGTAGTGAGCTATGGTTCTTCCCACACAATTTACCTTGTTCTAAACCTGGGGGAAAGTTACTTGCTAGTAGTTGCCTACAGTGTACTCCTAAGGTAATCTTACTACCCTTCCAAGTTCATTGGAGTCAATGGGTTTAGAAGCATGTAACTCTCAGCTAATTTAGGGGAGGGATGAAATTCAAACTGGGGAATTCCTGGTGTACGGCTCCGTCTCAGCCACTACGCTATACCACCTCTCAAAATCTGTTTCTAGTTTTATAGTGTGACACCCTGTTCTAAGGTTTCATATAAACAGCCAAATCTATTAGTCAAAAGGGCACAGCATAATTTGTGTGTGTTTTCCCTTCATTAATCATGTTAATACTTGGCAAGGAGTTACTACTTGATGTCAGCTGGAGTTGTAAGACACCAGCTGGTGATAATCAGAAGAGCTTCTTTGTGGTTGATCTCTGCATTTCAGGAGTTAAATGCTTGCAGTGCATTATGGCCAGTGCTTATGGTTTATATGGGTACTGCGTGAGGACTTGACACTGAACTGTTCTCCTGTTTGGGCTAAAAATTTATTATTTATTAAGCACCTGAATGATAGGCAGTATAGTGTATGCAACTCCCCCCCACCCCCAGTCCTCACTTGTCCTTCAATTTCATTAATACCTGCTAAACACAGTAATCACGGAAATAAACTATCATACTAGAAAGTGATTTAAGGGAAGGCTAATGAAAATCATTAGAGCTGCGGTGGCTCAAGTGGTTAAGATGCTGAACTGCAGGCTGTGGAAGGTCGGTAGTTCAGCGGTTCGAGACCTGGGTGCCACATGACGGAGTGAGCTCCCATCTCTACTTCCAGCTCCTACCAACCTAGCAGTTCGAAAGCAAGAAATTGCAAGTAGATAAATAGGTACCACTTCGGTGGGAAGGTAACAGCGTTCCGTGTGCCTTGGTGTTTAGTCATGCCGGCCACATGACCATGGAAACGTCTTCAGACAGCGCTGGCTCTTCGGCTTTGAAACGGAGATGAGCACCGCAACCCTAGAGTCGGATTCGACTGGCTTTTGAGCAAGGGAGACCTTGACCTTTACCTTGAATGAAAATCAAGTTCTTTTAAAAAGAAAGGACAAATGTAAAGTCATACAAGATCATGGGATGAAATAAATTCTTTTTTTTAAAAAAAGCTTATATTGGATGAAACCTCTTATGGTGCATGGTTAACAATATGGGGTAAACCTCAAGCAGGATTTTTACAGAGGTGATATTTTAAGACTATAACATCAGTAAAAGGTGAGGTGCTGTGGCCTGGATAGCTGAGGGTAGCCCAATCATGTCACATCTTGAAAGCTAAGCAAGGTCACTCACTACCAATGTTCCCTCTAAACTCTGGAGTCTTGTGAGCAGAAATTCTACTTTGTGAGCTACTGGCATTAAAGTTGTGAGCGAGCTATTTGGCTACTGCATAAAGTAATTTGCTCTGGAGCTATCCTTCCTGAGCGAAGACAAAAATCTGTGAGCTGGGGGCTAAAAAAACTGAGCTAGCTCACACTAACTCAGCTTAGAGGGAACACTGGTCACTACTGGTCAGTATTTGGATGGGAGACCACCAAGGAAGTCCGGACTCGCTATGCAGAGGCAGGCAGTGGCAGGACCACCTCTAAACACCTCTTGCCTTGAAAACACCATAAGTTGGCTGTGACTTGACACCAAAAAAGGGGGTTTTTTTAGGTAATGGCCATGAGCATCTACTGGAATGAAAGAAGGACTGCGACAGTAGAAAGACTTTGAAAGGATGCATTTTATGTACGTAATGTGAGTATTTTGTGTAGCTGTCCATCCACAGCGTAAAGTGTTTTAAAAGAGTCAGGTTATAAAAGTTTAAAAGTGATTTATTGTGCTTTAGGGTTGAATGCTTGGTTGACAAGCAGAAGGTCCCAGGATTAATCTGTGGCAAATAAAAGTGTCTTGGGTAGCAGGGCTGGGAAAGACTTCTCGTAGAGGCTCATTGCTCATATGAGTCAATGACACTGGATTTGAGGGGCCAGTGCTGCGACTGTGTGACCACCTCATGTACTCATGAGTGCCTGCGAGGCCTCTGTTTGCAGCAACGAAGGCGCTTGTAGTTAAAATGCTGGTATGATAGTGAGGGGCTCTGGCGGCAGCTGTGGCCAGAGGTAGCAGGAGTTTTAAATTGCTTCCAAATGCATCCTTTGGCCTGAGCTGACTGCTGGGACGTGGAAACACAGATGTTCTTGTTTTACGGACTGTGCAACTTACTGCCCATTAAACTGAAGTGAATAGGAGGCCTTTCCTTGCACATATCCCTGTTTGGGGCAATGGAGTCTAATTGAAACCCTGGCTGTTAACTTTATATTATGTGAGGGAGAAAAAGTAATGGTTGGATGGGAAGGTAATTAAAATCTGGCAGCCCAGAGAACTGTTAATAGCTGTAGAAGAAGATGCTTAAATGATGCCAGTAACAAGAGAATATATGTATTTAAGATATTTAAATAATTGCTAATGATAGTGGTAATTTGTTTCTTCTACTGTCACCTCTATTTATATTCCAAAATTCTGCCAGGAACTGTTGCAGGAGACGGCCCAGTGGCAACCCTTGGAGTGCTGGTGGAAGAATTTTGGTGGGGGGGGGACCTGGAAATATTTTCACTCTAGGAATTGTCAGAAATTTTTCATAAAATGCTTAAACTTGGAAGTGATGTCACAGTGCTCTAGGAATGGCCAGAAATGCTGTGGTTTTACCATTGAGTTTCTGGCCGTTCCTAGAATGACACCACATTTCTTCCAGTTTTTCCCATAAGTGATGTCACAGTGCACATGACCCCGGTGCCCCCCAATCTCCCGGCAGTTATCA